GGTAAGGCCCAAAAAACTGTGGTGTGAGGGATTGTGATGGTCGAGCGGCCTTTTGAGTGCACATTCCCGCGTTTCAGGGTGATGCGTGCGGGCTACGCGCTCCAGGCTGCTTTGCTGTGCTAAGGCCTTCGTGGCCCCTCCAGCGCGGCTGCTGCACACAACCGAACGCGCGGGCGCCCGCACATACCGCCCGCAGGCCACCCCCTCCCCTCCGCCCCGCCCCGGCGCGCCCCGCCCCGCCACTGCCCCCGGCCGAACGCGCCTGCGTAGGAAGCAGGTGGTCCGCCGCGAAGCACACGGGCCCCTCCAGCGGCCGCAGCCACGCATCGCAGGGATCCTTGCCGCCGCCGAGGCCGCGATTCGCGAAGCCCTCGACGCACTCTTGCAATGCCTCGACGCCGGCGGCGGCGGCGGCGCCGGCGCCCCGCCGCCGCGGCCGCAGCCGCCGCGCCCAGCGGCGGAGCGTCGAGGGCGGGGGCAGCAGCGGCACGCGCGCGAGGCGCTTTGCGAGGCGCTTGGCTAGGGATAGGATGCCGCAGGAGGCAGCTGGGGGGGCAGCAGAATTTCGCATAAGGAGGGGGTGGAGGATTGCTTGACTGTGTGATCGCGGAGGTGGCGCGATCGGACGCGGCGGTTTTGAGAATGGGTGGGGAGAGCCAGGGGCCGCTCGATCCGCTGGGGTGTGGCCGAGTGAAAATGATGGTGTCGTGACGGCGGCAACACACAAAGCGGTGTCCTGCGCAGCCGGCAGCGGTGCATCCCCGTACCCGCCCACCTGTGTAGAGGGCAAACACCCAGAACACCCTATCCAGGTTGGCGCTGGCCTGTTGGGGATTGGTTCACGGCCATCTTTGGGTCTTTGGTTGGGGGCCGTGCGTGCCATGCAAGCGCCGTGTTCGCAATTGGTTAAGCCCTTCTCGCACCTTCGCGGCCCCTCGCCTGCAACACCCGCGGCGGCAAGACAGCCTCTCCCTCAAGGCCCGACCATGGACGCTCCCCGCACTTCCCCAGCCGTCCAGGTCAGCAGGCAGGGGGTGCCACGTAAAACACCCACAAGGGGGCATCTCGGCAACCCCCCACCCCCAAAACCCTGACCCCCTGGAGCCATCCTCCAAAACAGACTGCGACCCCAGAGCACCGCAGCCCCCCCCCCCACCCAGTCGTGGATGAGCCCCGCCGCGGCCCTGAGGGCGAACATGATGGCGGCCCTGCCCAGCGG